TTGAATGCATGAGATTAAGATGTCGGTCTTAAGTGCATTTGTTGTGACTGATTGTACATGCATCATTTAGTCAAGAGGCAATGTCTGTTAGTTTCGTGGAAACTAGTGGCTTGTCCCAAACCTAGAAGAGTGGGTTTGAAGGCTTAGAGGACGGGCCTTTGTGGTTATCGGTCTAGAAGAGTGGACCCGGTTTAATGTAAAAACTGAAAAAAGATAACGGGTTATCGGTCTAGAAGAGTGGACCCGGTTTAATGTAAAAACTGAAAAAAGATAACGGGTTATCAGTCTAGAAGAGTGGACCCGGTTTAATGTAAAAACCGAAAAAAGATAACGAGAGTCGGTACCGCATTGCATGAGTTGCATTGAGTTATTGAGTCACATTGATATATGACATATGCATGAAGAGATGCTTATGTGTGAATGATGAGATTGTGGAAATTGTGAGTGTATGCATAATGTGGAAATGCTTTGTGAATATTCAGGTTTGTCTATATATGTGTGGTAAATATATGACTAAGGGAATCAAGTGTGGTGAGAAATGTGAATATGTGTTATATGACTACCTATATATATAATCTTATGCTTTGATTATTATGGTTATATTTCTCACCCTTCTGCTGTTTTATAATGCTCTATGAGGCATTGCAGATTAGGATGCTGGAGTCCTTTTGTGAAGTTAGTCTTCATTCTTTTGAGTCGGCTGCTCTGATATGTAACACCGGGTAGTTAGACTAGTATAGTCATTCTTTTGTGATACATTGCGATGTATCAGCTGATGTGGTTTTGTAATCTAACTGATATGATGCATTAATCTGGACGACTTATGTGCATTTGAATTAATATTTTGGAACTGATCAAATGATGTTATCTTCCGCTCAAATTAAATGTTGAAATGTGAATTCTAAAACTACGAAATTGTTACATATTTTATGGAGCAAAATGTTAAAGAGTTTCGTTGGTGAAATTGTGGCATTCTTCTTTCATACCTTATTATAAAACCTTTTTACTCTGATAATTTGTATGTGCTTAATTGTTTTATATGCATTTATTTGGGGTATAGAAGGGGGTGTTACATTCTCTGTCAATTAATAACTAGCACAAGATTGAGTTCAACAACTATAAGCTCAAGACAAATGCATATGTAAGAGATATGTAGAATACATTTTTTCGTTTCGAAACAAAAGTTATGCTCGAGTTGGAAGCGACAATTTCAAGATCGTTCGAAGACATTATGAAGATGTTGAAGCGTCCACCTAGATATTGAGATGTAATGTTTCATTTTATGCTGACATCACCAATGTAATGTTGATTTCATGTTATGATTGATAATTTTATTTTGTCAAAATATAACTTTCCGGTTTTCTGCTTTTGTTTCTATTGCGCATATGTTACGTAGATGCATCTACGAACATATTCCAAAGATACATCTACGAACATATTTCGGAGATGCATCTCTGGGTTAAAGAAACCTAACTCCTAGAATATCACTCAAAATTGGCATATGTTGTGTGTGTTTGGGTGCGTTCGAAAATACATTTCGAAAATTTGAAGACATTTTAAAATTTTCATGTGATACACCAATAATATATAGAGTGCATTAAGAAATTCGCTAAATAATTCCCATGATTTGTAATAATATTAAGCAATTCTGAATTAAAAAAAAAAACAAAATCCATGAGGTCTTGAACCCGAGTTTCTTCGGGTTAATTAATAGTCACTTTATGACTAGACCAATTAGTTTATATTGTTAATATTACTTAACTTAATAATTTAGAATAAATATTTATTTATTTATTTATTTTAAATAACACAAAAATAATTATTTTAAATTAATTCAAATTAAATAATAATCAATTAATTTAATAATAATTTATTTATTTCAAATAAATATTTATTAATTTCAAATTAAATAGTAATAAATTAACTTAATGATAAATATACAACATTCCCTAAGTTTTGATTTACCTCTATAATATATATTTTTTGGATTCTCCAGTAATATATATTTTTTTGTTTTACCCTCTCGACATGCAATTTAAACTTTAAGATTGGGATAAACCAAAAATATATATTAAAGAGGATAACTTTGACAGTTAGGGAAAGAAAAATAGAATTTTAACATTTTAAGAGAATTCAATTATGTTTACAGAAGATAAACCGAAACTCACGTTTATTTATTAAAATATTTAATTAATTCAAATCAAATTATTTTTAAAAGTATTTAATAAATTAAAATTAAAATAAAAAATTAATTTAATAGTAGTTCAATTAAATAATATTAACTTTATTTCTATTTGATTAATTATATTAAGGATTTACATTTTATTAAGGTTTCTGATTCTTTCTAGCAATAAATTTTTAGTTTTTTAAAATATTTTCGAATCTGAATTATATAAAAATAAAAATTTAATTTATTCATTTAAAAAAAAAATTTAATATGACAGTCCACGTAATTATTAAAAAATTCATGTGACAAAAATAATAAATAAGACAATTTAGTCACGATAAAAAAATTAATTAAAAAAATTATTAATAAAAAAAATTTCTGGTCTGAGCCCCGGCTTAGCCACGCAGGCCCAACCCAATAATATTATGTCAAGCCCAGTCTAGTTTGGGCCGCGACCGTCGAGCACAGGGTCTCCGACGGGCAGGTAATGTCCCTCCGCGCGGGCAGAACATGCCTCATCTCTGTCGAGCACAAGACTTTCCCATCGACTAGACACTGCCCTCTCCGCGGGCAGAACCTGCCCCTCCGCGCAGAACCTGCTCCCCTGTCGGGCAGGACAACGTGTCCCTCACACGTTCTCCACGTGCTCCCCTCCGCGGGGACACGTCACCGACCAACTGCCCATCTCCGAAAGAGCAGGTCAAACCCACTTTCCGGAGATCACGAGACAGTTGGACTAGGGCGAAGACCACGTCCTGGTCTTCACTACGCCACGTAAGCCCTAGCAGTCACCTGGGTTGGGTCTGACAATCAAGCCCAACACAAGTGACCGTTGGCCCAGCGTTGGGGTCTCTCTATAAATACCCTCTTTCACAAGAGGGTTAGATAATTCATTCCTTACCCCTTTTCTGTACTTGTGATCACTCTGCTCGTACGCTCACTTTAGCATCGGAGTGTCTTGCAGATACACCCCTCTCCTCTTCTTGCAGATACACCCCTCTCCTCTTCTTTAACACCGGTGACACGCGTGACAGCCAACAATCCCCTTTTGATCAGGTCAGATCCTCTTTTGATCCGATCAAAAATTAATATGGTTCGATTGAATTTTATAAAAAAGTAAAATAAAATATTTTGAATTTAAATTATATAATTTTTGTGAGGGTCATCCATATACTATATATAATAAGACTCCAAAAATAATATATTATTATATTTTTTGAGCCATTAAAAACACGAACGAAATTTATTGACCACTTTATTTTTTCTTATTGAAACTTTATTGACCGCTTTAAATCCAATTACTTGTTTTCTCAAATCTCTCTCATATTTAGCGTTAAAACTATATGAAATAAGTTTTCTTATCATCATCTCTTATAAACAATTTCTTAAATATGAAAAAGAGTCTGGTTAGTTTTTAAAATACAACAACTGTTATCAGAATATATTTATTTTGTATATAATATTTTTTTGTTAGGAGTCTTATTATAAAAATTATTGATAAAACGTGAAGATGTACTTTATATTTTCATATATTATTAAATTATAACCTAAAGATTTATTCAAGCAATAACAACCCTTGTCTACATAGCTGTAATGTATTCATTTGTTATTTGGAGCATCTTATTTATTATTATACCATAACATTATTAGATTATTTTAAATATTTAATAAAAAATATTTTCCTTCTATAAAAAGCTGATTTGATAATTACAACTGGTTTATTAATTCATTATGGCTATAAATCGCACTCAATGTGATTTTCTACCTATATGGAAACAACCGAAAATGAATTAAGGAAAATTATTATTTTATTTCAATAGTTAAAATTATTTATTAATTATAATAAAAATTTGGCGTAAAAACCTATCCAAAATATAAAGGAAAAATCTATTGCTTCGCATCTCACGCAAGTAAATCTAATTAAGGAATCCACGTGCATGATTACTTTTACCGTCTGTAACGCTGAAAAAAAAACAAAAATCGAAAAAAAAATAAAAATAAATAAAAACTAGGAACAGTAGTGATATCATGAAAGTGACCTTACCAATACACCACAAACACACTCACACGGAATCACGAAACCAACCTATTTTCCCATTCACCTTCCAACCTCTTTACGCGTACACACCTCAAGGACCTTCTAGTCTTTTCCTTACCCACCTAAATTCCATCACCATATTAAATAAAAATTAAAAAGAAAAATAATATAATCAGACTTAAATTTAAAAATAATTTAACACCAATATGTGAATTCCATCCAATCCAATAAAATATAAAAATTAGATTAAAATAAATAAATAAAAGATTTGGGGTTATTTACAGCCAGAGCCAGAGAAACCCACAGGGAAAGGTAAGAAAGAAAACTAGACTCTTGTTGAGGTCCATTTTGAATATCAATATATATATATATTTTTGTGTTGATAGATAGATAGATGAACAAGATTAAGAGAAGGTGTTGTGTATTGTGTTGTTATTAACTTTTGTTATGCTACTTTCCTTCAACCACAATCTCTCTTTCTCTCTCCCACCACCACCCATTCATCTTTTTCTCTCTCTTCATTTCTCTCCCTCATTCTCCTCCTCAATCTCATCACCATAACAATCTTCTTCTTTTCTTCTTTAACTTTAACCCATCAATCCCTTCAAAACCTCTCTCATCCATCAAACCCTTGTTTGACATAGAAAAACTTTGAAGATGAGTTTTTTGTGAGAATATAAAAAAAAAGAGAAAAACTTGAAAGGTTTTTTCTTAGATTTATCAATTTTTGCGTTTTTTTTGGCAGATTTGATTTTCTGGGTTGTTTTAGAATTTGAAAAGATTGAACCTGTGAAGATGGGTCGAGGAGGTGCTACAACCGCTGCAGCGGCGGTTGAACCGGTTTTTTTCAAAGAACCGAGATACAGAGGGGTTAGAAAAAGACCGTGGGGCCGGTTCGCGGCTGAGATCAGAGATCCTTTGAAGAAAGCAAGGGTTTGGCTTGGAACTTTTGATACGGCTGAAGAGGCGGCGCGTGCATACGACACCGCCGCTAGAAATCTCCGGGGACCGAAAGCCAAGACAAATTTTCCTCTCGCACAGCCGTTCTATCAAAATCCTGAAACCGGAAATCCGTTCGGCGAGCTTAGATTCTACGCCGGCGGTGCCGGAGATGGTTTTCAGGATCATCGGAGACCTACATCAAGTGGTATGAGCAGCACGGTTGAATCCTTCAGCGGTCCACGTCCGGTCAGACCACCGATTCCGCCGTCTGTCGTCACCGGGAGACGTTACCCAAGGACACCACCGGTTGCTCCTGAAGACTGCCGTAGCGACTGCGATTCTTCATCATCGGTTGTCGACGATGCCGACAACGACAACGCGGCTTCATCCACGATGCTTTCGTTTAAACGCAACCCGCTGCCGTTTGATCTGAACGCGCCGCCGTTAGAGGAAGCTGACGTGGCGAACGGACTTGGTGAGGATCTGCACTGCACCCTTCTCTGCCTCTAATGAAAAATTGAGATATGTGATGTATTGGATCGTGAAGAAAATTATGAATTTTTTTACTTTAATTTTTTTGCTTTTTCTTTTTTTCCCCTTTTTTTTATTATGCGGAAAAACTGAAAATGAAGATGAAATTTATGATTGATGATCGGTTATGAGATTATGGTTAATATAATCTTAATTTCTGTGAGAGTTTGTCTTCTCTTCTGCTTTGATGTATGAAAAAAAAAGGCTATATATTATATTATCAATCATAATTTTATTTTCCATGTTTTTGTTCTCTAATTTCTAAGGATATTATGAGATGAAAACTGGAGATTATTATGATCTATCTTTTAGATCTTGAAACATTATTGATTGAGAGATTCATCTGATTTTGATCTTCAACTTTGCATCACCCACTTCCTTGACAAAAATCACTTTTATATAGTTCTGTTTTTTTCTATAGATTATATAGATGATGATGGCGCTCTTGCATCACTCTTATATCCCTAATGTTTGCATAATTTCGCTCTTGCATCTGATGTCTGTCTTAAGTTCCTATACGTAACTTATGTCCTTATGTAGCGCATAGTTGCGTGCTTGCATCTGATCTTAAGCATCTGATGTTCCTCTTAAGTTCCTACACAGGATGTTCTTGCATCTGATGTCCCTCTTAAGTTTCTACACACAGGATGTTCCTGGATGTTCTTGCATCTGATATCCCTCTTAAGTTTCTACACCGGATGTTGCGTCCCTCTTAAGTTTTCATGAACCGGATTTTTCTGTATAAGTATGAACTGAGTTGTTTTTCTGTGTTTTTTTTTAATGTTTTATGTGGGTGAAATAAGTAGTTGATATTATAAATGGTGCAGTTGGATGGTTGAAATAGCAATTGAAACATGTTAGCTTTTTTGGGGATAGGTTGGGAAGAAAAATTGTTAGGTGAGGGATGTAGATGTAGTGATGATGATAATTTATTTATTATTTGATTTAATAATTTAGTGTAGAATGGAATAGAAAAAAGAAGAATGATGTTGGCTTGTATAGCACTCAAGATGTTTGGCAGGGTGGGTAATTTAGATGTTGGGGGGTGAATGATTTGATAGAAGAGATGATTCATTCTCCTTTTTCTGGGTCTTTTTTCATTACTAATAATAATAACTTGTACTCTTTCTATTTGATTTAAAGTTCTATGGGTTTTTTTAATTATTATTTCAAATTGGAGGGTTATAACTATAAATTTTACTCTATAAGAAAGGAATCAATCAATCTAAATATCATATTGGGTTTTCATGATGGATGTTTGAACATTCATCTATTAGGCGACGTTCTTAATAGTGTGAATATGTGAATGTGCTGTTTAATCATTTTTAGTTTGGTGAAAGAAACAAATTATTTATTCATTTTTACAAAAAATAATTCAAATACAACTTTTGTTCAATTCAATAAAAAAAAGAGCCTTTGTTTTTAAAAAAGACAGAAATTCAACCTACTCCATAGAAAGCAATTTATGCCTAAGCTAATTTTGCGGTATTCATTGATTTATTCGATTCTGTTCTGATCTTAAGAGTTTAGTTTATGTTCATAATTTTCAAAACAAACAAATTGAATGTCAATAATTTTTTATAGATTGATGATTTGAAATTGGCCGATTATAGATCTGATTTGGCAGAATACACATTGATGATTTGAAATTGGTCGAATATAGATCTGATTAAGCAATTTGAAATTGGCCGAATATAGATCTAGGCAAAATACGGATTGATGATTTGAATTTGGCCGAAAACATATAGATGATTTGAAAAGAGATCATAGAAGATGAATGAGATTTTTCTTAAATATAAGTATTAAGAAAAAATCACATGATAAAAGATTTAGAGGGGTTTAGTAAGCAGCACATTTCCTTCTTTTAAGATGAGCTGCATCCTTTATTTATTTATTCATCTCAAGGCAAGTAGACATGGTAGTGACCCTACAAACACAGCACCTTCATCACATAGGGAATACAAATACAAAGGGATGGTCATATACAACCAAACCAAGGAGAGATTCCTGAAAAGTCAAACTAAATGGTCGTTTGAATTTATGCTTTTGAGGCCTGCAACATGCAAAAACACTATTACCATCATTTTAATTTACAATTCTATATACTACTATACCAATTTCATTTGTCTCTTTCCTTAACCACATGAAATGGAACTTTCAAGGTAGGTTTCTTTACTAGCTTGTGGTATTCTAAACTCTTTGTGCAACTTACTTTGCCTTATATTGTCTTGTCTAGTTGTTGTATGTACAATACTCATACACGCAACATCTATCTCTATTATCATGCATTTCTTAATAACTTGTGGTTCAATAATAATCAATAATTATGGTTTGTTCCTTTGTTTAAACTATGATTAGAAGATGAATTCTTCTTTGCTAGTAATGTGTTTACACATTTTGTTGGATCTTTACTTGTTTTTCTCTTTCTCATTATCTAAAATATAGTTTTAATTTTTTATTGACTAATTGTATGTTAATTATATATATTGTAAATATTTATTTAAGTTTGTGGTTTTCTTTGGATGGGATGGGTTTAATTGAACATTGCTCTTTCCACCTTAATGATAAAGCGCCACCTATTAAAAAATTAAAATTGTTTTTCGCAAATCAGAAATATAACTACCTCCTTTGTATATATATTACATTTTTTTTAAGTGAGTCACATCTTTGTTTTGTCATAAATTAATATAGGGATACATTTTTTAAAATTATAAAAAAAATACATTTATGTAATAAGTATATTGATTTAATAAGTCATTTTATAATAAATATACTATTATAATAAATTATTATCAATTAAACGACACACAGTGTAATAAGAAATGTCATATTATAATGAATCCATAATCTATAATATTATTAAAATGACAACTTACAAATCATAATATTATCAAGAATCTATAATATAAGTGCTATCAAATATTATTAGGTATATTTGATCCTTTGTTCCTTCTCGGCCTTATGTACTGCAATATCGTATGTGCCTCAGACATAATGACATCTATAGTGGCCCTTTTAGAAGTGTTTTCAAGAAAATCTCCTTTTTCTATACTCACTTGTGCAATATCTAAAATACGACAACATGCAGATAAAACATCAACGATATGATTCACCCTAGTATTTTCCTCGTCTAATATCTTTTGAAGAGCTGACCTAGGTGGATCTTCGTGAACATCAGGTGTCATGTAAGGATGTGACACTCTAAAATATCATTGGATGTAGTCATATGCACTACTCCATGGATGAGGAACTGACACACTTCGTGCTTTCTCTAGTATCGGATGATTATATAAATTATCAAACAACATATCAACATCTCTGTAGATCATAGTGGGAGGAGCAAACAAAGATGAGTCTCTTGGAACGATCTGTATAAACCTGAAATAACGAATGACTCGCTCAGGCAGATGTGGATACATTAGGCGTGACCCACAAACCAACCATACAGAGTAGAAGACTATATTATCCAAGCGTCGTGTTTGACGGTGATCATCGCATGGTGTGTAGTGTATACCATCTAATGCAGTACGATCAAGAAACACTATATAGGGCTCGATCATTTGATTTTCTCTGAGTAGGACGAATTCAGAAGTACATGGATGATCCTCAGAGTAGTTACCAACATATGACCAGTCATAGATGCGTGAGAAGTGTTAGAGGATTCATACTTGAAAATGGAACATATGAAATATTAGTAATGACATAATACAAGTGTTATGAAATGTTAGTAATAGTAAAGGTGCAAATATAATATCATAAACAATGTGCAACTTGTTTTCATCTGTCTAGTCTTCCAAAGACAATCTTTAGCTGACTTCGAGTACAAGTAAACCAAACAACAGACCACATAATCATACTTGTGAATTCGCTCAAAGTCAATGAAGTATCTCCACTATCGTAGCCAGGTGGTTTATATACAACTTCTCTAGAAATGTAAATCTAGCATGGCATTCTCTGATGCCATCCATCTTCTTCTAGGCATCATCTGCATCATCTCCTAAATAGGTTACCATCATCTCCAGTGCACCAGGTTTGGTGAATTTGTAGTGGTATAATAATCTTTCATTGATCATAAGATGTAGCAGAGATGACACATCATCTAGTGTGATGGACATCTCACCATGTAGAAGATAAAAAAATGACGTCTCTAAGTTCCATCTCTCAGCGAAAGCTGACAGTATACCATAGTTAATAATAATATAACCAGTAATGCATAAATCTTGTACTCTAGATAGTTGCATCATATCATAAACCAATTGTTTCTCATGCTACTACAACTTCACAATCTTTCTATCATGGTTGATGTATTTTAAAGCATCAAGGTACTAAAAAAAATACATTATTGTCAGAAAGTTTAAATATTATGACACATGTGTTTCAAAGAATAAATAAAGATATATTTTACGTCTTCGTCCCACGTGCCTAGCAGTATATTTTTCATTTAATGGCAGTAATGAAATGTCATAGGGGCTTTATTCAAAAAAACTCATGAACATCAGGAACAGGTGCATCAACATTGACATGTGGAGATTCTGGGGAAGCAACATTTGACACTTGCCTCCGGGAAGACGAAGTCGGGGACACATGAACTTCAAAAGTTGATGTTTCCGCATAAAATGAACTGGCACCAACCGATGGTTGCGAGATCCATGCTCTCTCTCTGCAAACAGATACATCTTGGGATATTCTATTGTGCCTCAATTGTTCTTGGTTGTCACTCATTTAACATATGACTAAACCAGATGCAACAAACAAAATTAAAATCACGTCATAATCAAAAAATGTAGCCAAAGCAGACAAAATCAAACAATGTAATGAAAAATATAGAAGTGTACTTCTGTATTTCAAGAAAATTAAATTCAGAAAAATACGAAAGTGCACTTCTGTATTTTCCTGAAACACATAAATGGTAGAAAATGCAAAAATGCCTCATGCCCAATGCTTCAAATGTCATGAATGCCTCAATGAACTACATATTA